CTCTGAAGACACTCTTTGAACCACATTAGTAGCTCTCCTTCCAAAGTTGGAAAGTTAGCAACAACAAACAAAAGCTGTCGCTACTACAATCCAAAGCAGTCATCCGAAGCTGGTAGTTTAACTTGGCAGTGCCATCCCTGTGGTGCTGGTTTTACAGGCATAAAGAATGTAAGAGTGAAGGGGTCTTGGGTTCTTCCTCCATGGCTTGAGATTGCTGTTGAGGCCAGGCAATGGCAAGGGAGTCCCCGCATGAAGGCCCTGGGAGGGGAAAGGCCTTTGTGTGAAGCTGGGAAAGTAAAGTCTGGGTTTCAGTGGAGACCCCACAATATTGGAGATGCCAGAACCTTAGACATCTGCCAATGAGATCCCCATACAGGCAGTGGGATCGCCCCAAGAGAAAAAGAGATGTATGTTGCAGACAATGAACCCAGAGAGTCAGAGCCATCTAAGCTCTTTAAAACTACTGTTCTAGACTTCAGATGTAGAGATGCTGGATTTGGTGTTTGCCTTGCTGGGTTTTGGTCTTCCTTTGGTGCATTTTCTCACGGTGCTCTCATCCCTCTATTTTGGACTAGTAATGTATATTACATGTCCTTATATGTTGGAAATATGTAGTTTATGTTTTTTTTTCTTTACAGCGGTTGACAGTTTAAGAGATTGTTTTTGAAGGGACCAGCCCCCTGCTTTAGCAGCCATGACAGTCTACAGAAGATTCAACACATGCTTGGCTGACCTTGCCCCCTCCTACCTTAGTCACTAGGAGGTCAGATACCCTCCTTGTGGCAAGGAACCAATCAGAAGTTAGCTAGCGGGGGGGGGGGGGGAGGGGGGAGGCATGCTTTATGTTAAAAGTGTGTAACAGTGATGTGCAGAGCATAGCAATCGCCCTGGGAGGGCCTACAGGCCATAACAACCAGTTGGCCAATCAACACAAGACAGGTCCTCCAAGCCCCGAAAGCTCACCAATCCTGAGACTGTTGTGTACCCCTAGACACACCCCTTATGCTGCCCTATAAGTTCCTGCCTCGAAATTTCTCAGGGTCCTTCTCCTGCCATCTGTGGTTATGAATGGATAAAGAGCCTGAGTTAGGTCATTAAACAACAATAAAAGACTCTTTGCTTTTGCATTGAAATGGGTCTCTTGGTAATCTGAGGGTTCAGAATTTGGGCACAATGGTTTTTGTGTCTTGTTATTTGTAAATAGTGTTGAAACTGTAAAAGACTATGGAGACATTTGAAGTTAGACTAAATGCATTTTACTGGCCGTGAACCTGTGGAGGCAAACAGTAGGATACAATGGTCTGACTAAGAGATGCCCTTCAGAGGCGTGGATATTTATAAACTTGATCCTCGGTTGCTGTTGGCGTTTGGGGGTTTAGGAGGTGTGGTCTTACTGGAGGAAGTAAATCATTAGGTATGGGCCTTGAGATTGTATGCTCTCACCCTATTCCCAGTTTGCTCTCCACTGCCTCGCTTTGTGACCTCTCAGCTTCTGGCTCCTGCTGTGTTCCTGCTGATTTGCTCCCATGCCTCCCTGCTGCCATGATGGACTCTCATCCCTCTGAAACCATTAGCCCAAATAAACGCTTTTTTCTTTAAGTTGCCTTGGTTATGGTGTTTTATCACAGCAACAGAAAGGGAACTAAGACATGTCCTCACATTTTCTTTTATAAGTTTCAGAGTTGCAGGTCTTATACTTAGGTCTTTGATACATTTGAAGTTGATTTTTGTGCAGGGTAAGAGGAAAGACTCATTCTTCTATGTATGGTTATCCAGTTTTCCCAATGCCATTTGCTGAAAGTGTCACCTTTTCTCCTGTGTGTGTGTGTGTGTGTGTGTGTGTGTGTGTGTGTGTGTGTGTGTTTTCATCTTTGTCAAGGATCAGGTGGCTGTAGCTACATGGATTTGTATCTGGTTCTCCATTGTGTCTCAGATTGACTCTCAGTGTTGGTTTTTGTGCCAGTACCATGCACATAATGGAAATCAGGTATGGTGATAAACCAAGTAATACTCTTTTCACTTAGGATTGCTTTGACTATCTGGGTCTTTTGTGCTCTTATAGGGATTTTAAGATGCTGGGATTCTGATTCCAATATTGCTTTTGGTAAGATAGCTATTTTCACAGTATTGATTTGTCCAATGAATGATCCTCGGAAGTCTTTTCATGTTCTAGTGTCTTTTCCTCTTTTCCTATTTTTTCCTTCTGTGTTTTAAACTGTTCCTTATTTTTCACATCTTTGGATAGGTTTACTCCAAGGTGATTTGTCTGTTTGCCATCTCCCCGACTGTTTCTCAGTCTTCAAGAAGAAGGTGAGGGCCACAGCTCATCACAGGACAGTTGGTAGATGAGAGGGGTTATGGCAATGGAGAAGGAAGAGCTACCTTTCATTTCTTTCTTTTCTGTCTTCTAACATGGGCTTCCTGAACCCTTTCTAACAGCACAATTTGAGGAATGATTGCATCAAGTATTTCCTTCCCTTTATTCTTTGTTTCTTGTCCACTTCAGGGTCTGAATTAGAGATCATCACTCACTGAGGACAGGTGGTCCAGGAGCATGAAAGAACTCAGGAATTAGTCCTGACCACTAGATAAAGCTGGAACTGTTGTCTTGCTCTCAGAGGATGACTCGGTTGTTTGTGCATCTAAATGAGGTACCCATCAGTTGTGATGGAGAAAGTCAGCCCACAGGGCAGTCCAGTGAGCCTGGTTTCCTGTTCTCCTGTGATGGTGCTCAGAGGCCTGCATCAGGACCCCAAGTGGGAGGGATATGTGTTCCAGGCCTAAGGGAGATGCAAACTTTGTGTTAGGTTTCCCCAGGGATTAGGAGGGTCTGTTTCTCGTCTTCTGCACATGTGCAGTAACTGTGTCTGTGTACATAGACAGTCGTGTGTGTGTGTGTGTGTGTGTGTGTGTGTGTGTGTGTGTGTGCTCAGGCATGCGTGCATGCATGCATGCTTGTGTGTATGTTTTGAGGACATTGAAGATAGAGGAAAAATAAATGCCTGAAATATTTGCTTTTGGTGCTACAATAGCCTCAGGTTAAGGCTATTCAACACTGAGCATCTCTGCCTCCCTGCACTTACTTCTCTTTATGATGTAGCATTCCCACTGCTCTTTCTTCTAGCATCTGCTGACTTCCAGCTGTGGCAGTGATGCTGCCCTGTCTCTTATAGTATTCTTGGTCTATTCCAAGGTTATTACCAAGCACTTATGTAGGTAGTGATTATGGGGAAGGAGGGGGAGCTAAAGAGAATAGAGGAGCAAATGGCTTGAGAGTTAGACCTTGAGGATGAAGAAACAGTTTATTCTCAGGTTGTGAGACCCATGGATAACAGGGCTAGAGACACTAGGAGCTCCATCTTGGCAACAGGAAGACTTGGCTATTAGATGCTGTGCAAGCGCCTGGAGGTTGTATGTTCCTGCCTGCCAGAGCTGGTGCTGCATTCACTCTGTGAGAGGTACCCTGCAGAACAAAAGCTTAAGGTGGGGATGAGAAAGAGCAGGGGGCCTGGAGTCAAGCCCAGAGGGACGGGGGCACCTGGGACCTTCCCACTCCCCGACATGGCTGTCACTACACCACACCCCAGCTGCTTAATCACACAAGGCTGCATTGTGATAACCACACTGTAGCATGGCTTTTCTGAAGACACAGTGAAACAAGTGGCATGTCTGTGATGTACCAGTTACTCACCAAATGGCCCCTCTGTCATCCTAGTTGTATGAGATCACACAATGGCCCAGCAGCAGAGAGAGGATGCTGCCCCAGAGAAGTTCGAAGTGTGGTTGGTACATCAGAGCACCATCAGTTAATCACTGCTACCATGAGGACAGCTGAAAGGAAGTACTGGCCATGTGCCAGCTATGGCAAATGTTCTTGCATTTCCTCCTTTCTCAATGGGGCTCTTTCTCCCATTCTACAGATAAGCAGACTGAGGCTGATTCCACTAACTTGGCTTTGGACTCTGCGCTGGTGAGTGGCAGAGACAGAAATTAAACCCACACTTCCAATGTTACTAGCTGTAGCTCCTGTCTACTTTGTCAGGCAAACGGACTGAGTCTCAGAGATGGACATTCTCGCCAAGTCCTCAGGGTGGGCAGTTGTCCAGTAGATGGTTAGGGCCAGATCCATTTGGGTCTGGATTACAAGTCTTGGTGATTGACATGTTGTGTTCAGTGGCCAGTTTCTTAGCTCTCCAGCCTATGCTGCCACACCTGGCCAGGCCACGAGAATTAAACTTGACATCTTTATTCACCGCCTGGTACAACCCAGGTGTTCGTGACATGTACCGCCTGGTCAGCCCCTGGCAGTTTCCCAACCAAGGCGAACAGCTCTGCTGCTGACTAAAGGGACACGCTTGTTTTCTTCTAAACTCAGATGCCCGCATTCTGGGAGTTACTTACAGCTGTGCAGAACCTTCAGGCTGCGCATGGTGTGGTGGAGGGTTCACACCAGGCAGATGTGCCCCCACCCAGAGCCACACAAAGGCGGCACATCATAGCCAGTGCTCGGAGCAGGATTTCATAATACTCACTCCATGTTATTGCCAGAAAAAACGGAAAATTGAACAGCAGTTCTTGCTTGTGAGGAAGGGTAGAGCCTGGCATCAGCTCAGGCAGGTACCCAACTCAGTTCGCACCTTAGGACACATGTACGCTCACACACATCCCAGTGTGCGTGTGACCCAGACAACTCGGAGCGGAACGTTCCTTTTCCATAACCAAGAGCTGCTTCGGATACTCTAGGACATCCCTTGGTCCCTGCGTTTTGAGAGAGCCTTCACTCCTTGCCCCGGGGTTCCTCTTTCTCTGACCCTGTCCTTCTTTATCTCCTGGTCGATCCTGGTGTCTCAGACATTGGCTTTCTGTTTCCATTCTCTGTCCGCGGACTTTCTCTTTGCTTTTCTGTTTTATTCTCTGTGTCTCTCCACCTTTCTCTGCCTGTTCCTGTCTCTGCCTTTCCCCACCTTTGTCTCTGTCTTCCTGTGACACTCTCCTAATGCTGAAAGTGGCCGAATTTGAAGTGACAAACAGCACTACACCGAGCATCCACCCCCAGACTGCGCGATTGCGTCCTCCTCCACATCCCATCACCAAGAGCAGCTATTGTGTTTCACCCAGGCCCAGGGAGTTGAGTGGAAGGGCCTGGGGGTCTGAGCTCTGACTGCTCTGCCACTTCCCCATTGGCTGCTGGCAGCCTGTGCTCTGCGAGCGCTGAGAGGGCTGAGCGACAGGGGGAGACTCTCACCCATAAAAGGGGGGAAAAGGCTTCAGAACTGCATTCTAAGGGGACTTGGTAGCCCTCACAGCTTCCTCTCTGGCACTTCTCTGAGCTAGAGTCAGGGTGCTTCCTGAATCTTGGATCGGCCACCACCTGAACAGCCAGAAGCTTACCGGGGACAAAGCAGTGAACAGGTAAGATCTGCCTGGAGCTCAAGCATTCTGGCTTTATGCATCTGCTCCTGCTGCTAGGCAGAGGGACCCGTGGCAGCTTGGGCTGGGGGAAGTCAGGTTTGGCTCTGATTACTCAGTACACGAAGTCATAGTTTCAAGGCTAGTTTACAGAAGCCAGGTCATTGAGTCTAAAGAGCTGCCTGCTCGATAGAACCCATGCCTTCCTTACACAGGTACTAGCTGTGCCTTGGCTCTGCCGCACAGCCCCCATGTTAGTCTGGGAAGAAGGGGCATCCTGGGTAGAAGACCAAGGTTTCACTAATTAGCCCGATTTTAAAGGTCATCTTCCTCACCGACTTAGAGAACAAGGGCTGGAAACATTAATGAATGAGGTTTAGGACTTGGCATTTGCCAACTATCCATCAGCACCATCGATGGATAAACAAGTGCTGCCCTCCTTATTCTTTCTAATTCATGTTTAATCGCTGATGAGGTGCTAATTTGCTACGATTTTTACTGAGAATCGAGTCTGGGGTTGTTTGGTTGAAAGGGAACCAGGAAAGAAAGTGGGAGCGTGGCTAGCTGGATACCCAGGCTGAGCAGGACTTCTGTCAATTTTACTTTGAAAAGACTTGTTGCTTTCATGTAAATTACAGCCAGTTACTGCCCGGAGGTTAGGCTGCAGGAAGCTCACTTGGGGAAAGCCAGGGGCTCTCTTATAACAAAGCCGACATCCAAAAACATGATTATGAAAACCCAAAGTTTGACATCAGTGAAAAGCTAGCGAGCTTCCAAGAAGGTGGCTGTAGACCACTCCACGGTTGAGCAGTAAATTCTGGGACTTGTTACTTTTCCCTGGGTTTTTTTTTTTTTTTTTTCTTTTCTTTTCTTTTCTGAGAACCTCTCAAGATTTACAAGTATCCCTTAATAAAGCCTCCAAGCTCTTTAGGTTATTGGATCTGGTTTCAAGTGCCCTCCCACAGACAGCAAACTCATTATCACCCCTCCGCCAAGGGTTGGTGAAATATACACTGTTCATCTTTTAATCTGACAGGCATTGCTGTCAAGGTCTGTTGTGAGATCTTTCAGAATGTCAGTCCTTCTCTGCTCCTTCTCATGGGGGCTCTCCTCCCCCGCACTGCTCACCCTCCTCCCCTGTTCTCCTCACCGGTGCTCCACTCCACTCCACTTTTGTCTTTTGTTCTGTCTTTGCAGGCCATTCATCTCCAGGTTTGGAGATCTGCGTGGGGGAAGCTCTTGAGGCAGCCACAGTGCGGTGAGTTATGGTGCTGGTGTGTGTGTGTGTGTGTGTGTGTGTGTTTACTGACACAATCCTGAGACCTTTGCTTTGTCCTCACAGTGCTCAGTGTCCTGGGTGGCAGGTGGAGTAGCTGGCAGCTGAGTGTGGTATCGAAGCTGTGTGGTAGGCTCCACTGTTTTGCTGAAGAGGGCTGCTCAAGTGGTTGGCTCTGGGTTGCTTGGGAAAGCTCATGGGAGGCTGTGGCAACTCACAGGAGTCCCTGTGCATTACTTCAAGAATTTTCTGTGGATGACCTAAGAGTATAAGGCCACACCTGAGCCTATGCTGAGTTCAAACCCCATATTCACCATCCTTTATTTGCTGTGCAATTTTGCAACAACTGCTTTCCCTTTCTGGGTCTTAATTTCCTCACCGATATAATGAAGGTAATAACAACGTCCTTTCCCTCACATTATTGTGAGGCTCCTATGAGAGGCTGTATGTATGCACCTGGCATTTGGTAGGTACTCAGTAAATGCTACTATGGTCCGCCTCGCCACTGATTCAAAATGGCTGGCTTCAAAATGAACAGCCTCCCTCTTATATGACATCAACAGTAATCCCATTCCATGCCGCTGTGTGCTCTTCCAGGGAAGTATGACTAAAAGTCAAATATCTCTGGGGCCAGTGTTCCTCTCCTCACCCCTACAGATGACCTCATTTCTTTATCTGCCCTCCCTGACAATGAAATTCCTCCATGATGTCTCATTCCTGGCTTAACTTTTCTATTTGTTAGATCTCCCCCTCATTCTTAGAGGAGTCAGTGGCTGCTGGTTTGGTTTTAATGCATATCTGAGAAAGTGTGGCCAGCAGATGATTTCTCTCACCAGTTTGTTCATCTCAGATCATAAGTGATTGGCCGATCTTAGTGGGTCTGAAGAGGGGCTAAAACAACAGAGACAGAGCTGACCGCAGTAGGAAGAGATACTGAACTATGTCCCCATGTCCTTGACAGCTCAGCCTGGATTCCACTCCACACCTCCACCAGAGCTCAGTAGCCACACCTGAGGGAGGTGACCTCCTCAGTTTTCCCCTCACCCTACCCCATTTGCCTCACCGGCCAGGAGGCTTGGCCACTAGTTGCAGATGTACTCACCAGAGTCCATGGTGGCTTCTTCTCCAGTCTTATTCCTGCAAAATTCAATTTACCTTGATAAGGGTTTCCTGAGCTGTTACTATGTAGCTCAAGAGGCAGATTCAGGGAGAAGCAGAAGAGGACATTGACATTTACCTCCTTTTCCTTGCTTCTTTTCCATCCTTTTCCTCCCCTCTTTTCCATTCACCCACCCCTGCATCTACACTGTCCCCACCCACCTGCCCCTGAATCCACACCCCACCCACCTGTGTCCATTTTCTCTGACTCTTCATCTCTCTCCCCAACCTCTCATTTTCCCTTTTTCTTTCTCCTTATCTTGTAAGTGTACCAAATGGCAATTAGGGAGGAGATTCCATTACAAATCTGACAGCGGAGAAGCATCCCTTTAAAACTGCGGCTAATGGTATCAGTGAACCCATGACTGTTGTGGCCTGGACTGCAGGACCCATAGTTCTATCTGTCTCTGCACAGCAAATGTGATGACCTTTGGGCAAGGCCTGGTCCTGTGTCTATGCTTTGATACTTGCTGAACAAAAGGTTGGCTCATTTTCTCCCAGGACCAAAGCTATTTCTGCAAGCTGATCGCCCATCCTCTATTAGTGGGCATTTCTTAACAAGGAACACCCTCAAGTTTCAGAGCCTTCCTTTGATAGCCCCTTGGGAACCCACAAAAATGAACTTGCTATTTTCCAGTAAGGTAAAGAGTCCTAAAATGATTTCATCTTCAGCAGTGTGTGAAAGTCTGGGGATAGCCCACAGAACATGCCACGTGTCCGTTTGTGCAGTCAGCGGATTAACTCTGTACCTAGTTCCGGTCTCTTTGAGTCACCGTATTCCCATCTAGGAAGTGGGGCTGACAGTGGCCAGATCATTGATGCAGGTGATTCATATAAAAGATATGAAGCATTTGGCCTCCACATGGGGGATCTGTGGATCCCAGCCCTGCTACCAGAGCTTGCTGCTTCTGTCCACAGTTTCCCCCTGGAGCCTGAGCCTGTGCTGATAGCCTGCTTCAGGGGGCCATCTGGAGGCATCTGGCAGTGGCTCACACAGCCTTTGACAGATTCCAGGGTGGTTGTCACAGGAGGGTCACAGAAACACTGGCATGTGTCAAGGTGGGTGTGAGAGCCCCAGTTCTCCTGACTCACCGTGTGACCTTAAGCAAGTGACTTCATTCTTAACTTTTCCATTTCCTCTTCCTCCAAATAGGAATAATCATATGCACACATTGCTCCCAGAGATAATTGTGATGTTAAGTCATGCCATTATTATTCCTCCCTAGCTTTTCAAATAAAAATGCTTGCTGTCTCTGGAGCCCTGGCTGGCTACTGTAGAAATCTCTCTGAACTGGGTAGAGAGCAAAACTCAACCAAAACAAAACCAACTCTTTCAAGGGACTCTGGATCAACAGGGGAGAGAGTTCCTACGCTGTGCTGGCCCTTTAACAGACACTGCCCACAGAGTGCTGGTACAAACACTGTCCATGGAGGCCCATGGAGAGAGGGTGCTGGGGGCTGTTTGATGAGCCCACGGTTTTACTTCTCAAGCAATATTAAAGTCCCAGGTGAGTTGTGACTTTTAACGGACTCTGCCACCAGAATCCAGAACTTGTGGAGTGTAGGACACACTCTGCCTCTACTGCAGTAAACCCACCTGTTCTCCTGCCAGGAGATGGCTATATTACTGTTAGATAATATATCCGCATGTCTGGAGACCCAGGAAAATGAGCTGAAACCTATCAGATTGATATAAGTCAATGAGGCAGAACCAGCATACTTCCTTGGTGAAGGGTCAGACAGTAAACACCTTTGGTTTTGTGAGCCACCGAGTCTCTGTTTCAGCAGCTAATGATGCTTTTGTGGCATGGAAATAGCTTCGGTCAGCTGTCAGTGGAGCTGGGGTTCTCCAGAAAGATGAAGCCCATAGAAACCCATAGAACACGTCTGTGGACAGGAAGAAAAGATTTGGATCATGTGACTATGGTGTAGGGTATGTCCAGATCACTCTCTTCTGTTTGTTAGGATAGGCACACCTCTTCCCTCCACCTGTCTCCCCCCCCCCACCCTCAGGCTATTACATGTGCCCTAAGTGTGGCCAAGGACACATTTCATGAAGTGCACCTGGGAGGGCATCAGCCTACCTTCCTCTGGGTCACTGGGCGCGCTTACCTCACGCTTGCCTTTCTAGTTCTCAATCCATTGAAAGCTAAAGCTGCTTGTCTTCTCCATTTACCCAGATGGAGATAGAACACAGTAGGTCTAACTTCCAAGTTCTGTCCCTCATAGACATCATAGACAGATCCCCAGTGGAGAGTTGGGAATCTCCCTGACCCACCCTGACATTGCCCAGCAACTTATCTTTTAAAGGGGTCAAAACAAAACAAAACAAGAAAATCACAGCTCTCATCTTAAAGGGAATAAGAGATGGTTTGTTCTGGAGCCATTTAAGTGACCATGGCCTGGGAACATAGCTGGGAATTCCATGCTCCCACCTGGAAGCGGTTCCAAGACATTTGATAGCTTTACAGAACAAAGGAAGTCATAAGTCAAGGCAAGTTTAAAGTACACTGGTGGGTCAACAGAGAGGTGGGGACAGGAGATGGGGGAAGCTTATCTACAGCCCTAAGATGTCACCTGATGACATTCTTAGCTTTGGGGTCCGAAGCCAGTGCATCTGCTAAGACAATAAAGGTTTTTATCCATTAGTTACAGGATGTTATGTCTGACACAGAGGTGGGCAAGGTTGGTTCTGCGAGCTAAAAACAGCCCAAGATAAGGTGACTAGTCTCTGTATACCTGTAATGGACCAATCTCTCCACAGTGCAGGACTTCTAACCAGTTCATTAGACTCTGTAAGTGCAGCTTCTCTTTGGGAGTTTGTGTTCACAAAAAAGGAGGGAAGAAGATGGAGGTGAGGGTCTCAAGGCCAGTGTATAAAGCCACATTTAACCTCAGGTATTGAATTGTCAAGTCAAGAGAGCTCAGACAAGTGATATCCTTTCTATAAAAGCGTTTCGGAATATGACCTGTAGGGATTCTGAGTTAACGTGCAAATGCTTGGTGCACTGTAGGCTGTCACAGTAGCCATGTGATCATGAGGGGCACCAACTCCTCCTCCCACATTCCAGGACTCCATCCAGGGCAGAGAACATATTCAACTACATGTTGGTTCTACATTCTTTTTGCCCACTTTTCCCTTCCCTCCTATCTTACATAAGACCAGACCATCCCTTCACACTTTCTTATTGGAAGTGCCTGATGGGTGCCAGGCACAGGCTTAGTGTGCCTACATGGTCTCTCATTTGTATGCTAAACAACCTCCAAACTCTTTGTTATTAGCCCCGCTGTACAGCAAAGAAAATCAACTTTCTCCAAGTGGTGGTGAGTGGCTAGCTGGAATCTACACTTTTCTTACCAAACAGACTCGGTGGGCCTACAGCCAGGACAGGCAGGATTGGAGGGTCAACTTTCTCAAAACCATCCAAACTCTCTCACCTCAAGTTGCTTTTCCTAGGTGTTTGACTTGGCCATTCACGTGTGGCAGATACAAATGGGGACAGCAGGAACTGGTCTGTGTGTATGTCTCCCACATGGCTAGGGTCAAAGTAAGATGCAAGTCCGATGTCTCAAAGGCTTTTGACTTTTTTCCAAACAAGTTGGAAACTAAGCTCCCACCACCCTTAGAAAACTCCCAGTTTTAAAATGTCTGTTTATTCACTCAACAAACTTGTATGGAGGTCCTGGTCTCATTTGAGCCCCTGATGAAGCTCTGGGAACCATTTATCATTTATCCATTTATCTGTTCAGCTACTTTTCCATCCATCCATCCATCCATCTATACAACACACTTCTCTGGTCCTCTCATGACATTTCAAACAAATGCAAACTATACCTAGGTCCCCAAAGCTAACATGAACTTGCCTCTGCTCCTTCTTGGTATTTAGCACTCAGTTTTCTTTTATGTATTTTTCTCAACTGTGGCCTCTCAACTGTCAATCACACCACACACATTCATACTTCAGGAGCTTTGCGTTTACATAATCCCCTCTTGTGTCAGACTCAGACAGTTTGATGTAATTATGTGCTGGGGCTAGCATGGGTAGCTGCAGGAGCTCTAAGAAGGGATCATGTCAAGACAAACTTCCTGGAGGTGATTCCTGAGACTGAATTCTAAAGAATAAATGAGAATTAGTGGATCAAAAGTAATAATAATAGGTGCCAGGTGTTTGGGAGCAAAGAGAACTCTGTATGCAAGGGCTGGGAAATACCAAAAATGGGCCCTTGGTTGTGGAGTTGAGGGAAAATATTGGTTTCAGCTTTATGAGGTTACCTTGAGGACTCCCTCGCATTAAGCTATGTACAGGATGGAGCACAGAGAGGCATACAGTGTACACGTGGCAAATGCAAGCTGTCTTGGGAAGGCTGCTGGGTATGGGCAGAAGGGTCAGACCTCTGGGAGGCAAGGCATTACAGAGCCAGAGAGGCTGGAACAGAGCTGAGTCAGATGGTAGTGTTCAGAGAGTCTTCTGGCTACCGTGGAGATTGTGTCTGGGGGACCAGCTTTGTATAGACAAGTCCAAATTGGGTCATTTTAGAGCTCAGTGCTATGGGAAGTCTCCCAACAGGTGTGAGACACTGACATAGGCTCATCAGTAGTTTAATTTGTTCAAATACTATAACAGGCCAGGTCAGCTATCATTAGTTCAGAAAAACAAAAGCAACACACACACACACACACACACACACACACACACACACACACACACACACACCAAAAACCAAAGTCCCAAAACCATGAACCATTTATTTTGTCTGAGCATAAGTGGAGCATTCACTTGCTCAGACCTCTGATTTTTTCTCCTCTGATAGAGCAGGGGAGAAATGTGGGAGACACAGGGACAGGGCACATGAATATAGTTCTCTGAGTTTCTAATCTGGGCTTCCCTGCACCAGCATCACTTGAACCCAGTATCGGAAAAGCACTTGGACCTTCACTCTAGCCTACAGTTGCATATAACCTCAGACAAATGACACAGTCCCCAGTTTTTGCATCTCTAAAGTGGGCCAATCTTGCCCACCTCTCAGCTGGTAGGTAAGTTAAGATTGGGGGAGAGTCAATGCTCTGCGAGTTGTTGCTGGGACTCATAGAAGATTTCGCCATAGAAGACTTAGCTGTTGGTGACTCACACCTGTTCTAGAAACTGCAATTGTTAGGTGGAGTGAATCAACAGAGTGGGCCCTGCGTCCTAGCTTTCTTCACTGCTCTGGGCAAGATGTGGGCAGCTCCCTGCAACAGAAGTGCCCTCATAGTGGCTTAGAGCAGTAGAAGCTCAATGGTGGCAACTGGGATAATGGTTAGGAAGGCTCTGGTTGGGGAGCCTATTGTGTGCTTTGAGAGAGGAGAGTTGTTCCGGGGTGTGTTCTGGGGTTTGAACTCATGGGTGAACCTTCGAAGCCCCCGAACATCAGAAGAGAAAGAGGGGTTTGCAGGAGGGAAGGCAGACAGTGTCTCTTATCTTGGAGACAGAAGGTCAGGATGTCTAGGTGCGGAAGAGAGTAAAACCCCAGCTGGCTAGCTAAAGGTCTCTGGGACCTCAGTTCACTTGCAAGAACCACATGGTGATCTGACTATGAAGAGTGGCTGATGGGGCCAGAGTGGTGGGTCAGTGGTTAAGAGTGAACACTGCTTTTACAAAGGACCCAAGTTTAGTTCCCTCACCCAGGCCAGGCAACTCTTAACTGCCTATCACTTCAGCTCTGGGGGATCCAGGGCACCCTCTTCTGACTTCCACAGGCACCTAAAATATCTATCTCCCGACCTGACATAGACATAGAATTAAAAATAAAAATCTTTTAAAAATTGACTGTGAAAGAGACAACTTTATTTTTTTTTACCTTAATTGAAATATAATTACGTAACAGTCCTCTTTCCTTTTCTCCCTCGAGCTCTTTCTCACGTCCCTTCCTTTCAACCCCCCTATACTCCCCCTCTTGAAAGGGACAACTTGTAATAGACTTTCTTACAAACCATCAGTTTATCTACCGAGCACTCAATAAGAGCCTACTATGTGCTGGCTGGAGTTTTAAATACTAGGATAAGACGTTAAGACAGCTAAGGTCAGTGACTTCCAAAAGTAGCTAATGTTCTAGTTGGGGAAATGGTAAGGGCAGGTAAGTAACTCAGCTAGTGTGAGCCTGTCTGGCTTTGTGACATTTAGTTTATTTCATGCAGAGAGGCAGTCTTGTGAAAAACCCGAGGTCAGAATACTTCAGACAGAGGAAGAGAACGTGTAAAGGTCCCAAGGCAGGAACAAGCTTAACCTGTCTGAGGTCCACAAGCAATTACTACAGAGAGGGCAAGAGCTTGTCTCTTTGTTCAGGGAGCATGCATTTGCACCTCACACGTGCCTGGAGGGGCAGGGTGCTTGCACAGCTAGTTAGGGGGTGGACTTTTGGGATGGAAGAGGTACAAATTACTGGCAGGTGAGACCTAATCAAGGAAGGAAGTGACAAGAGGCGTGGAAAGGTTCTCCAGGAAGAGAGAGCATCCTTTGCAAGGCCAAGAGCTGAGAAAGTAGATCCCATTCCCGACTGTTGGGGTTAGGGATGGGGCCAGACGGAGAGTGCCTGACTATGAGGCCTTACTCCACCTAGTGGGTGCCATCCCAGAGTTAATATGCTGAGAAGGGTATTTCATGCTCCAATCAGAGAAGCTGAGGAGGGGGCCAGTGTGGAGAGGGGGTGAAGGTGGAGCTCTGGTCAGGGTGAGGAACAGTGCTGACTTGAAAAAGACTGAACTGAAAGAACAGGAGTGTAAGTCGTAATACAATGTTTGTATACCATGTATGAGACCCTTGGTTCTATCCCTAGTACCAGAGAAGGAGGGAGGAAAAGAGGGAGGGAGTGAGTGAGGGAGGGAGGGAGGGAGAGACAGACAGAGAAAGAGATAGAGACAGAAAGACAGATAGAGAGAGATAAAGAGAGACAGATAGAGAAAGAGAGATAAAGAGAGAGACAGAGAAAGAGATAAAGAGAGACAGAAACAGAGAGGAGTAGAGATAAAGAGAGACAGAGATCAGAGAGAGATAGACAGACAGAGGGAGACAGACAGAGAAAGGAGGGGGGAGAGCACTCATCCTTGGGGACTCAGGACACAGAAGCATACCTTAGTCAAATGACTTGCAATTGGACAGACCCCATCAAGCTCTGGCTTCCTAGCCCCCTAGCCATGTGGAACCATTTTCCTGTGCCTCAGCTTCTCAATTTGTTAAGTGAAAACCACAGCATCGCCTGCCTGGCAGAGCTGCTCCATGGATTGTGAACAGAGAAAAGATCCCAGTATGCCACGATTACTCAGCGCTCAGCCCCTCCTCACTCTCTGGCCTTGACTCCTACTTTACCACCTCCAGCTTCTTCTGTCCTTGCCTACAGGACTGGAAGGAGAATGCCTGCCTGTGCTGCTCTTACACCAGGTATGAGTAAAAGATATGGCCTTGTCGGCTCGGGACAACTTCACCATCTTGTCCTTCTCCCTCTAGCAGAAGAGTGGGACAGAATGGCTTGGTCCGCACTGATGCTGGCAGCTTGCCTCCTCGTGGTGGTACCCTCTAACGATGCAGCCGACTGCCTGTCCCTGTGCTCCCTGTGTGCAGTGAGGACTCAGGATGTGCCCCATCCCATCAACCCCCTGGTAGGTCTCAGCAAGGCTTCTCTATACCATTATATTTGTGGGTAGAGTCCAGAGAAGGGAGGTGGTATATCTGGGCAGCTGAGTCTGCTGTATTTACTGTATCAGTGCAGAAAGCAGGGAAGCAGGGTGCGCTGTTGTCTAGTTCCCTCCGCAGTCTAGACTTCATCATCATGGTTCCTCCAGGCCTGCACACAGACCTCACTCCCAGGCAGTCAAGTGCCTGGCAACAGGGTGTAGACCATGAAGTGCTTGCTGTGTGTTTGGAGCACTGGGCACATATTCCAAGGCTTCATTTCTTGGCTGATGGGCACCTCCAAATCCAGTCTCCTGGCCAGGTCTCACCATCAACCCTGTCAGGGTCCTCTTGGTGGATTTGGAGCCTCTGCCTCTCTGGGGCCCAAGACTCTCTACGCCTGGCCTGTTGATGGTGCGCTGGGTCATGCCCCACCCAGCACTGCAGAAGGACGGCAGTAGTGTTGGCTGAGTAGGCTTTGATTCTGGCCCTTTCTAGCTCCCTTCCTCTGAAACTGTTCTCTGAGTCTCACTATCTCTATCTACAAAATGAAAGCGATTCCCTGAGCTCACGATGATAAGTGCTTAATATCTGAGTCTAGTCTGTATCCACTGAGCTGTACACAGTGTGGCCTGCTCAGCCGCAGGAAGGCAGTATGGTAAATCAGCACCGGGACTCCAGCGGCAGACCTTCAGAATTCAAGTTGCAGCATCGTTTGCTACCGTTAATATCATTATAGTCAAGGTGACTGAATGCTCCCTATGGCATCATGAAGCAGATGCTGTGGTCCCTCCAACATGCACCCTCAGGTGTGCTGAGCCCTCCAATTCCCTGTGCGCATTCTTCCCGCTGTTCTGAACCTCTCCACCCCTCCATCTCTAAAGTGTCAGCAGTCCCCTCTGCTCCTTGTAGAGCAACTATACCCTTTGGAAGAAGGGAAGCATATATGTAGGTCAATAGGAACATCTTGCTTCTACTTAGGGGATTTTCGCTTGTGTCTCTTATGCCTTTGGGATACGTCTGATTTCTTATCTCTCATATGATGAAAGTCATTTGGTGACATTACTACTATGCTCCTTGGAATCCTTTCAGATTTGCTCCCTGGAGTGCCAGGACCTGGTGCCACCATCAGAGGAGTGGGAGAGATGCCAGCGCTCTTTGTCTTTTCTCGTCCCCACCGCCTCTGGGATCCGTGGCAAGGATGATCTGGGGAATGAAGTTGCTTTGGAAAAAGGCTACAGCGCACTGACCAAGCTCTTGGAGCCCCTCCTGAAGGAGCTGGAAAAAAGCCAATCCCTCACAAGTGTCTCAGAGGAAAACCTCAGGGGTCTCTCTGGCAGGTTTGGGGATGGAAAAGAGTCTGAGCTGGTGGGAGCTGACGGGATGAACGATGGAGCCACGCAGGCTGACACACTGCATTTCAGCGAGGAGGGCTTGAGGAAACAGGCCAAACGCTATGGAGGGTTTTTGCGCAAATACCCCAAGAGGAGCTCAGAGATAGCTGGGGACGAGGACGGGGGCCAGGATGGGGATCCGGTAGAACATGAGGACCTGTACAAACGCTATGGGGGCTTCCTGCGGCGCATTCGCCCCAAGCTGAAGTGGGACAACCAGAAGCGCTACGGCGGCTTCCTTCGGCGTCAGTTCAAGGTGGTGACTCGGTCCCAGGAGAATCCCAATACCTACTCTGAAGATCTAGACGTTTGATGCATAACACTTCCCCACCATGGAGTTGGGTTAGAAGTTTCCCCCTGTACTAGAACCCACTTCATCAACCCCTTGTGCTTGCCTCGCCCATTGCTCCATTCAGCACCCAGAGGAAACAGTCTAAGCCCAGCCCACTCCTGTTTAGTCTAGGAGTGCAGTATTTGCTTGCAGCCAGTGATAGAGTGGCAATATTTGTTTGCAGTCATCGACAGAGAAGAGTGGCGGTCCCCTGACAATAGACCCAGTGTCTGGCTCAAACCCTTAAACCTCTAAACTGCCACAATCAGCCCAACCACTCTGTCCCCATGGCACCCCACCACAGAATCCAGAGAGACTTGTTCTTTGTACCTGTAGATCTGTAATCCCCAAACTTCACTCCTCTCCGAAGGAAAACGAGCACTCCCTGATGCATGAGACAGAGTAGGAACCTAAGATATATGCAAATAGAAATCCTATCTGTATTCTCAGTGGGGAGCTCCTTTTATACGCCCTGCTCTGGAGGCCACAGGCTAAATGAAAAGCCTTTTGGGGGGCAGTGTTTATGACCCTGGAGAGGCCAGGCCTCTAGCATGCTCAATGTTCAGTCTGAGCATCCAGAGTTCTCATGCTTCCAAGCATGTTGCTGGAAAAGCACGGCTCCTAGGCCCTGAGTTAGTTAGGGTGGTGCCTTTTCTGAAGGAGTGAAAGCCCCTTGCTCATGATGACAAGCCATGAGCTTTTAAAGGCTGAAATGATAAGAGGGATGCAAAGCAAACCAATTGTTCTGTGCAACAAATTCAGAATTTGGGCCAGTTCCCACAGCCCTCATTAGCAACGATCAGCATCACACTTCTACCCCGTGAGGAACTGATCAGAGTGGAGCCGAGGAGGCTAAGCACAGCTGTGTTCTTCAGTTGTTGAGTTGGCTGCAGGAGCCTGAGCCATTTGGCCCAATGTACGCACTGGCACTGGGAAAGGGGATCCAGAAGCTGCAGCTGGAGGAGAGATTGTCCCACCTCAACACTGCAGTGAGCCTTATTCTCCGTGTCTCCAAATAAAAGCAGAGAGCAGAAAGCAATCAAGTGTTCAAGATCCACTGGATTCCCTTGACTCAAATAACCCAGATGAGAGGCAAGGTCCTCTTAAGTTTCAAATTTCCCCATCTCCAGGCAGATGTTGATATTGATAGGTTGGGGACATGAGGCTGGTGTGAAGGGAAAAAGACTGGATTTGCATATTTGCATAAGATGTCTTAAGTGGTCCTGTTCTATGCATAGGCCATAACCTGTAGAGCTCTTCATGTGTTCTGAAGCCTGTAGATTGTTTTAGGATGGCTTTGTATGCTGCTTAAAAACTGCATTTGTCCAACTTATTTGGAATATGTGAGTCCTTAATAAGCCTGTGTAATTCCCTGCTTCTCTGGTATAATAAATAAAATTATGCAGATGACTTACTGTGTTTGCATGAATAGTAGTCTCCAGAGAAAGTATACTGCATTATATATGCATTTATGATATATACATACCCACATAAGCACACACACACATGCAATTGTATTGGAGGATCCAACCTGCTGCCTCATTATGATAGACAAACACCCTACCACTAAGCTATAACTCCAGCCCCTATAGTCAGTCATAAAATAAAACAAAGTGTGGAATAACAGAAAATAAGACAGTGAGTGTGCCACAGACTCGTCTGTAAATTGAGTCTGTGTGACTTTAGGCAAGTCACTAGCCTCTCTGGCCCTTACTTCTTTGCTGTTTTTCTGGCTGTTTAGCAGCCACACCTGAATCTACAATTATTTTAACCACTGTCTGTGCCCCAAGACCTCCAGGCAGAACCCAGCTGCCCAGGCTGCAGCCTGGCATGATTTCTGGTCCCGCCAGCACTGGCTTGGCTACAGTTGCCCAATGTAATTTCTTTAAAAATTTATTTAACTTTGTTTTATGTGCATTGGCATCAGATCCCTGGAACTGAAGTTACAGACAGTTGTGAGCGTCCACATGGGTGCTGGGAATTGAACCGATTCTCTAGAAGGGGAGCCAGTTTATCTAAACTGTTCGATTTTTTCCAATAAAGACTAGGGAGTCAGATGCTGGTGTGAACATCTGCTAGATTAGAGAAGCCGAGCAGCAACTGCTAACCTTTATCAGCTATAGACCCAGAGAGACAGAGAGAGAGACTCTTCACACCATCCCAAACCAAGAAGACCAAGAGTCTCTAAGTCCCTCTCTACTCCTTCCTGTGCCTCTCTATCCATATTGCTGGGTCCTCCATACCCTCTATGGCTAATTCTTGTCAACAAATTGCTGGCTCTGCCCCCTGATCCAAGGTTAATTTTATTCACACAGTCTTGGAATTTTACAGTGCCATCAAATATCCTACAACACTTCTTGCTTATATAAAATAAAGACGAATAGGACCTTGTTTATAATGTGACTGAGCAGAACAGATGAGCTCATACATAGAAAGTTCCCAGTGCTTAATAGGTTCGGCAAGAGTTTCTTTCCCTGTGTGGTCTTGGGAACAATGTCAAAGATGGGCATTCAGCAACAGAACAGGGAGGTCAGAGAGAGGTACTAAAGTCTCTGGGACCACCTCCTGTGCTGGGACACTGCTGCAAGTCACAGCAATGTTCCTAGCACGAGTGAGTGTGCTAGTGGCAGACGTACACCTCCCTCTGCTAAACTGGCATCCTCCATTGAGTGGTGCAGATGAAGTGTCTTCAAACAGGATGTGTCAGTGACTCAATGGCCATAGATGTGGGTTCCATTGGAACACTTGCTTTTGGAGTGACTTGACAGAAAGCACAGGGCCAGGGATGTGAACTCATTCTCTCATCATTTAATAAGGTACTAACTGGAGGCCTACTGTGTTTGGAAGACCTGCTGCAGAATGGAAATGTTCTCTCTTCTTCTCTGTTATAGAAGTCCAACTTTTGAAACCACATTCAGAAAGCTCAGCTTCAGTCATGATTTTGCTAGCAGGCGATGTACCAAAGCCAGTGCTTTGTGTAAGTCTGGTCCTGTCCTGCAGTTTCTTATAGCTTTTATAGCATGAGCTGAGAGTGCTGAGCTCTCCAACCGTCTGAGGGTGCCCTCTGGGTCCTGTGACCACCAATAGGAGGTGTCTACTGTAGTCTAAGCACATCTTGGCATGTAACATGGGCATTGCTGGAAGGTGTTAAGATTTTCTTGCTCTAGGAAACAGGCTTTTGATGTCTAACTGGACAGCTGAGTCAATGTTTCTTAAGGGAGATTTAAAGGCATTTGCTTTTCCCAAGATAAGAGGAAGGGGATTAAACCTAAACAGGCAGGAGCACAAAGAGCAGAGCTCAAGAAAATTTGACTCATTCTGTCTCTGCTGAGCCCTACAGCTCTCAGGAAGAAACTATTCAGGTGTAACAGTGCACGGACGGTAGCAGCTAGACTACGTTACGTACAAACGATACTGAAGGTTTAGGGTATATATTCCTTTTTCCTCCTTCAACAGGGTAGAGGACCAACAGGTAAGGAAAAACAAGTCTAAAGTTAAAAATAGGCACAACTGCTGTTTAAAAACTTGGTGTGAAGACCTGAAGGGTAGTAGGTATGTTCAGAAAATCCTTTTCTTACAACTGTTTCTTTCTTGATAGTTATGGGAAAGAGAAATTGGACAGAGTCTAAGCTTTGAATTCATTCTCTCCAGCCACACCCAAATCTGTCTGAACACATTTGTAGACTGACACTAAGCAGCATTGTCCTCCACTTTGATGGGTCAGAGTGTCATCTCTACCATGTTGACCCATTGGGTCCCGATCCTACTGTCTATCAGCCTGGAGTATTCTCTGGGGAAGACTTTCAAACAAATGGCCTATGACTACCTCAGACAGGCAAAGGCAGACTCTTTGTTGGCTTATATAGTACAAATACCAGAAGGATTTGCTTCAGGTAGAACTGGAACAAGGTACTCTCTAAGGACTTCAACACCTGTCTATGGTATTGGGTCTTACGACCAATAATGAGCTAATTCTAGTCATTGCAGATAGGTTCGTGTGGTGCTCTGGTTGGTCACAGCATGAACATCAGGGAGACAGGACGATCCAACTTCATGCAAAGTAATGGGAAAGGAAGGAGCTGGTCCAAGGGAGGAAAAAACAAAACAAAACAAAAAACTGGAGCATGATTTGCTGCAGGTAGGGAATGTACCAGGCCACAACAGCAGCGAATCACTCTCCAGTGAGTGAGGGATTGCTGGGGACAGGGAAGCTGGAAAGCAGATGCTGTGGAAAACATACAAGAGACTGCAGACATCTGGCTCTACAAGATGGCTCCCAGTTGGAGCTGAGTAATTCGAAAGTAGTATCACAATATGCACAACCGCGTGCTTGACACTAGCCATCATTCTCTCAGCACTTTGATTTCTTTGCAAATTTATAAAAAATGAGAAATAGCCCTGTACGTTATGGATTCCATAATCCTAGCGTTCTGGCTTCCCTTTTCTAGTTTGCTTTCATGGTCACCAAGAGGGATAGACAATACGGCTCTAGGGGCACAGAGTATTGGGCTCCAATTTCCAATCTCGTGAGTGGAGAGGAGAATACTGACTACAGGTCAAGGCAGAAATTCAGGAGTATTAAGTAAGTCACTTGCCTTAGCTGTGTGTGCCACATACTGCTATGCTCCGGGGCCCAGGCCCATTGTTCTAGTGCTGCATGGTAGGCAGCCATGGCAGGGGGACCGGGCCACTTTAGAAGCCAGTATTCTAATGGTCACTCTGATCATGGTGTGTCTAGTACCACTTGAGTGAAGCACATGTTTGTCAAAGAAACAACATTCTGCTGTTTGTGCTTAAAGAGTGGCATTAAGTCATCCTTCTGGGGTTGTGACCTATGTGCTCTGAAGTCCCCTGGGGTGTGAACACATACATTATGCATACAACTGCAGTTGCTGTTACTTGGTCCCCAGTAGAGAACATTTCCACACCACAGAGCACTCAACAAGATCCTTTTTAATGAGCTATTTGTGGAGACAGAGAATATCACAGCCCTTCCAGATTCCAGGGCCTCTGTCCCTGCCCAAGGCCCCTGTGCAATGGTCACAGTGCAGACAGGCACTGGCTACCAGCGTGCCAACACCATAGTAACCTTTAGAGAGCCCGTTTTTAATAAGCAAGCAGTT